GACAAGAGCCTGGTTCGCCTAGGCCTGCACTTTATTTTCGTTCATGGCGCCCCCCGTCGCTCCCTGCTTGGTGCTGCCCGTCGCGCAGCTTCCGACCGACACGCTGCTCGTGATGGTAAGTTGCGCGGCGACGCCAAATGCGGCCTCGTTTCGGCCCCCTGTCGCGCCCGTAGCGCCCTGCCCGTCGCGCTCGGTGCGCCTTGCCCGTCCCGTCCGTGGCGCCCTGCGCGTCGCGCCCTGCGCCCTGCGCCCTGCCCGTCAGCGCACTGCGCATCCGCGCTCCCTGCACCCTGCACGTCCACACCCGTAGCGCCCTGCCCGCCGCGCTCGGTGTGCTCTGCCCATCCCGTCCTTGGCGCCCTGTCATCGCGCCACGTGCCCTCCCGTCGGCCCCATGGGGCTGCACCGCCAGCCGCTGCTCTGCCGCGCCTAACGTTGAGGGGGTGAGGTTGAAGGGGGCAGCGGGAAATAGGGGTTGAGGTTAAGGGGGTGGTTGAATGGCAGGTGACTTGGAGGTTCTTAAGAGGGTACCCCGGGCAATGAGTTGTCACGCTCATGCACGCCCCCCACCTCCTCTCCTCTCCTCTCTCTCTCTCTCTCTCTCTCTCTCTCTCTCTCTCTCTCTCTCTCTCTCTCTCTCTCTCAAGCAGTCCTGCATTGATATGCTTATAGGTACAGGCAAGGCAGGGGAACGTTCCAGCAGGTGGTCTATCCTAGGGGCACATACAACCAAGCAAGATAGCACAGAGAACAGGCAACCAGGCAACTAACCGTGCAACTAAACAGGCCAGCAAGCAAACCAGGGCCAGCAAGAGCTACCAAGATAGGACCAGCGGCACGGTCCTCCCACTATATGACCTCTGTTTGGTCAACCCAACCCCTAGTACGCCCCTGCTGCCCTGCGTCCCCTACTTCTCCCCTTACCTTTCCCTCCCTCCACTCATCCCCTGAGGCTGCCCAGTACTAATCACTTCTCCCCCTCACTCCCCTCCCCCCGCAGGTGCCATCAGCTCATCCCTCCAGTCTTCTATCATCCGCCCAGGTCATCTTCCAGCACATGCCACAGGTCTCCTAGGCTCGGCTCCCATGGGTCCCTTGCTGTCTGTGAGAAGGCTGCATCGTCTCCCAGGTTTGACTTGTTCAAGAACGAGGTCGCCTGGGAGCGTTGCAGCATCACACTGAAGCGCTGTCTGTAGTGTGCAGTCAGCCTAGCAGTGGTGGTGGTCAGCTTCCCCTGGCGAAACTTCCTCTTGGCGGCTGAGGTGGCAAGCAGGCGGAGGAACTGCTGTGTATCCGTGGCCAAGGCACCATAGGTTTCTACTGCCAAGCCGAAGAACCCCACATAATCTGGCCGCCCCTCGTATATCCTCTGTTTCCTCTCTGAGGCCTCCCTCGCCGCCCACCCGGGTGGTTTCCTAGCCCTCTTGTCGCGGCACTGTAGGACCGGGTCTGTCACTGTTACGTCTGTCACCCACGTTTCATTGGATTCCTTATCTCTGATCGCTAGGTCCCCCCTCTTCCGGATCACTGGTGGGGAGAAGGCGGTGGTCTCGTGGAAGACTGTGAAATCGGCCTCCTTTGCCATCCTCAGTAGGGCGAACACCAGGGCATCGTGGGTACGGACTGTATCACCTCCATGCGCGCAGCGCACAAGGTGGTTCGGTAAGCTCGTGTCCTTGACGTCCGAATTGTCACGTTTGCACGGGCACTTCACTGTCACAGGGAGGGAGATGCCTAGGCGGAAGCCGAGCGCCAACGAGAACTGACCAGGGGCAAATGTAAGGTCAGTTCGTGTTGGTACGGCATGGAGCCAGTCCCCCGCCCCCACCCCTTGCAGACTGATGAGGCGTATGGCGTGTCCGCGGTCCTTCCCCGGCCGATCCTCAATTGTGTCGGCTAGAAGTTCTGCTGCCCGTGCTTCATTGATGTGCCGAGACAGCGTGAGCTGAAGGCTGCTCCTCTCAGCCGGCTGCTCTCAAAACGCCTGCAGCGCTCCTCGGGCCGTGGGGGGCAGTGCTGCCTCTAGTACAGTCAAGGGGTTGACCCCTGGTGGGTCCGGGGTCCAGCTATGGTCCAGGAGCCTCGCCGCTCAGCTCAGGAGGTAGGCCTCTGGGAGGTTCAACCCACGTAGCAGGTGCTGTGCCGCTGTGACTGAGGCAATATAGGCTGCAGGCGCTTCTGAGGTGGGGTCTATTATCCCCAGTCCCCCTAGCCTGACTGGTAGTGTTCCTTGGCGCCACAGTAAGCTCCGCTCCAGTTCACTCGCCGGGGCCCTGAGCTTTGCCGCTGCAAAAGCCGTCGCCAGCAACGTCTCACTCCAGCTCCTCCACCTATCTCTTTCCAGGGTATCTACTGGTCTTAAGAGGGTACCCCGGGCAATGAGTTGTCACGCTCATGCACGCCCCCCACCTCCTCTCCTCTCCTCTCTCTCTCTCTCTCTCTCTCTCTCTCTCTCTCTCTCTCTCTCTCTCTCTCTCTCTCTCTCTCTCTCTCTCTCTCTCAAGCGGTCATGTATTGATATGGGTCACAAAGGTACAGGCATGGCAAGTGGTGGTAACTAGCGAGACTAAACATGGAAGTAACCAGGAAACCAGAACTAACAAGCAAAACAGAGCATGCCCGTCCAGATGAAGCACACCGAACACCTAGCACTCAGTGCAGCCCGGTCCACAGCAGCACAAGTTGCTGAGACAACCCCACATTCCACCCATCCCTTGTTCCTCCCATACCATAGGACCACCCCTTATCCTCCTTCCCCCCCGCTGCTTCCCCACACCTTCCCTGAGACGGCCTCTATTTCCTTGTCCCCCCTGGAACCTCCCAGACTTAGTACTCTTCTTCCTGACCCTCATCACGCCCCTGCACCCCTCCCCTGCTGCCCCCCCCCCGGCCGCCCCCTGTCACCGAGTTCCTTCCACCCCAGCCCTCTAGGCCGCTCTAGCTGGAGCCTGGCGCTCCTCATACTCGTCCACCTGCATCTGCCAGAGGTCTCCTAGGCGGGGCGCCCAAGGGTCCGCTGCAGCCTGAGGGAATGCCGCTTCCGCTGCCCGGTTTGACTTGGAGAGGAGGGATGTCGCCTGGCTGCGTTGGAGCATCACCGACCACCGCTGCCTGTAGTGTGCGTTGAGGCGGGCAGCGGTGGTGGTGAGGCGCCCCTGGCGGTACTTCTTCTTCGCCGCATAGGTAGCCAACATACGGAGGAACTGTTGAGTGTCTGTCGCCAGCGCCCCGTAAGTCTCAACCGCCAGGCCGAAGAAACCCACATAGCCAGGCCGCCCCTCGTAGAGCCTGTGCTTGCCCTGCGACGCCTCCTCCGCTGCCCACCCTGGCGGCTTCCGTGCCCTCACGTCCCTCCTCTGTAGGACCGGGTCAGTCACAGTCACATCCGTCGCCCAAGTCTCTCCCGACTCTTGGTCCCTGACGGCTAGGTCAGCACGCTTGTTCTGGACTGGGGGAGAGAACGCGGTCGTCTCGTGGAAGGTTTTGTACCCGGCTTCCTGTGCCATGCGAAGAGCAGCAAAGGCCAGCGCGTTGTGGGTGCGCACAGCATCCCCCCCATCAGCACACCGTAGCAGGTGGTTCGGCAGACTTTTGTCGGCTATCTTGGAGTTGGATCTCTTGCAGGGGCAGACCTCCGCTACTGGAAGTTCCATGCCAAGGCGCAGGCCTAGTGCCATGGAGAACTGACCAGGGGATATTGAGAGGTCAGCCCTCGTTGGCACTGCATGCAGCCAGTCACCCGCTCCTACTCCTTTCAGGCTGATGAGCCGAATAGCATGGCCTCGGTCCACCCCTGGTCTATCAGTGACCGTATCCGCCAACAGCTCCTCCGCCCGTGTGTGGTTAATGGCCTTGGATAGCCCCAGCTGCAGATTGCCCATACCCTTGGGGTTCTCCCTATAGCTGCGGAGGACCGCTGCAGCTTGTGCTGGGAGCCTTGCCTCGAGCGGTGACAGAGGGTTGACCCGGGGGGGGGGTGGGGCCCAAGTCGGGGAAAGGAGATCCCCGGCCCTGTGAAGGAGGTAGTCAGGCGGCAAGTTCAGCTGCAGCAGTAGAAGGTGTGCCGCTGCAGTTGACGCGAGGTATGCTGCTGGGGCTTCGGAGATGGGATCAATGATTCCCAGGCCTCCTAGCCTAACCGGGAGCGTTGCCTGGCGCCACAGCAAACTCTGCTCTAGCTCACTCGGCGGGATCTGAAGCTTCGATGCCGCTAGCCCTGCTCCCACCAAAGCCTCGATCCACTCCCGCCACTCCGTACGGGCTAGTGCATCTGCTGGCGTTGTGCGAAGTAAGTACGAGATGCGGCGGGAGATGCTCCGAGATAGCATGAGTAGGGCATGCTGCGGGTTGAGTTGGGAGACGAGTTGTAGCGGCGCAGCTGCCTCCACAAGCGTAGCCCGAACCTGGTCCGTGCAGAAGGCGTCGCTGCCAACCGGGCTGCCCAACACCTTTAGACCGCCTGGGTGGATGGGGAGGCCGTGTGGCAGGCCGTCTCCCCTTTCCTCCCACACTGCACCCCATGCCGCCGACTTGGTAAGGTTGCATCGTAATCCACAAGATGCCAGCTCCTTGACGACCGTGTTGAAGGCGACGCATGCTGCCTCTCGGGGCCCAACAATTGTGATGTCGTCAGCGTACGCGACTATTGCCACCTCCGGGACGCTCGTGGCCACGCTGAGCAGAATTGGTTGGATCGCCGCAGCAAAAAGAAGAGGTCCCAGCGGATCCCCCTGGCGGACACCCCTGGAGCTTTGGATGTGTTCTACTTCCAGGCGGGGGTCTACTAAAAGCCGTGAGGGACCGTCGTAGAGGTTCCTAACGAGCGGGAGAAGCGGGTTGAGAGTAGACCACTGGAGGGCGGAGAGGAATGACGCGCGTTCCACACTGTTAAAAGCATTCTCTACGTCCAGCTGTAGAGCTATGCGGGTCTCGTCATCTCTAAGGAGAGAACGGACCGTGTGGATAATACACTCCGCGCCCCCGGGAACCGCTACGCCGAACTAAACGGGAAGGAAAAACTCCCGGATTTTAGGGCCCAAACTGTGTAGCGCTGCTTTAGCCACCACGCGGAGTAACGCCTCGCCTATTGCGATCGGTCTAACTCCTCCCCCAGGCTTCTCTAATGCTATGAGCCGAGAAGGAAGTAGAATGTCGAGGACCGGTTGGCTCTGGAAAGTGCTGCCAAGGCGATTGACCACGTTCGCCAGCAGCAGTAGAATCTCTTCGTTCGCCAGGGCTGGGTCTCGTAAGTGTTCGAACCAGCAGCCTGAGGGCCCCGCCCCCACCCCATTTGGGCATTTCGCGAGGATTTCGCGAAGGGTTTCGAGTGGGATACTGAGCTCTGAGTCAGATATCCCGGTAACCCAGGCTGGTGTTGGAGCACTAGAAGACGGGTGTTTCGCTAGCAGGGCAGATAGTGTCGCAGAGTTTGGTTCGGCGAGAGGGCTCGTGCGTAACGCCGCGACCGCCTTCGAAATGTTACCTTTTTTAACCAAACCCTCCGCTCTCGCACAAACCCCCTCGTCATCGTCTTGGTGCCTTAGCGGAGCACCCATGTCGGGGATGGTGCAAGCAGCCTCGAACAACACATCCCATTCTCCTAGCTGGAACTGATGCAGCCGAGCCTCAATTGCTGCCCAACGACTGCCAGTGACTGGCTCTGGTGGCGGGCGAAGTGTCAGCCTGGGGAGATACAGGAGGATCGCCCATGCACCTGGGCATTCTGGGTTTGTTGACAGCCGCAGGAGAGGTGCGAGGAGGCACAGGCAGAATTTGTCCAGCACTTGGGGTGGTAGTCGTCTGACTAGGAAAGGTTGGTCCATCCGTTGAAGTAGGTCCAAAGTCCACGTCCCCGCCGCCTGCCAGATGGCGTCATCCTCTGCCAGCGTGGCCGGCGATCTTACTTCATTAGTGACCGTCGCCGCTGGTACAGGCGATTCCGGCCCCTCTCCTCTCACTCGATTCCGGCCTCGTCCCACTTCCTCCTCGTTATCCAGAGAAACCTCTTCGGACTCTGGGCCTGCCTCCTCTCCACACATAAACTCCGGATCCCCAGTGTCCTCAGCAGAACCAGCTTCATCCCTATTGGCCGCGGCTTCCAAAACCTCCGGGCGGTCGTGGCGTTCCCGCCAAGGGTCCGTTCGTGCTTGGATCTCAGCTCCCCCCAGGCGAGCGAAACCCCCGCGCCCACCCCCTCGTCTCCCGCGGCCCATACCGCGGAAACCCCGGCCTGCCGCTGGCGCTGGCCGAGCCGTCGCCTCCAGTCCCGCTCTCCCCGCCGGCATCCACGGCGTACGGCCTCCCCTTGGTGGGCCCCACGTGACAGCGCCCAACCGAGCCGAGCGACGAGTGGCGACGGCTTCCGCAGCTGGAGCAACTGAGCCTGGCGGTGAGTGCATGCGCGTTCCAGTGTCTTGGTTTAGAGCCGGCTGCTCAGCGTGGCGGGTTGCTGTCGTCTCTGTTACCGCCTCATTAAGTCCAGAAACCCCCCGTTCCCCTTGCATGTGCACAGATGACGACCGACGCGCTTGCTCTGATGGCGGTTGCCCTTGCAGAAGCCAGCCCAGGAGGGGTCCCGGGGAGCCAGGTCCCAGCCCTGCTCCGGGCCGTCTCGGCGCTGGCTGGGCCCGCAGCTTCTTCTTCGACTTCACACGTGCCGCGCTGGAAGAAGCGCCGTTCGCAGGTCCCGTATTCTCTCCCTCCGTCTGGCCGTGCTCCTGCCTACCTGCGGCCACGGCAGCAACAGACATTTCGGCGCACGCAGCGGCAGTCGTCGCGCCTTCCACCGGCGGGGATCCGTCCTGTTCCCCAGTCGCAGCAGACACCGCCGCCGCCAGCACAGCCGCCGTTACAGGTGCCGGCGACGCGGACAGCGCCGCCTCTGCGGTCTGCTCATGATCCGCGCCCGGACTTGGCTCCTCCGCCTCCAACTGCGCAGCCCGTGGGGTGGCAGAGGGCGAAGTTGAGCCGCCGCCAAAGGCAGCGGCAGAACCGCCAGCAGGCGCCGGGCCCGCCGCCACCGTCTCAGCTGCAGTCACAGCCGCAGCAGCAACCTCAGGCACCGTTGCAGCCACCATCCTGGGTATCACAGCAGCCACCATCTCAGTCCCCGCTGCGTCGTTTTCCCCTGCCCCTCCAGCCGCAGCCGCCACGTCCCTCGATGCCCCACGTTCCACCGTCACCTCGCCTGCACGCTCCAGGCCCTCGGCCAGTACCAGCCCCGCCATCGTTCCATCAGGACTTGTATGGCAGCCCCCCTGTGCCGCGTCCATGGGAGCCAGTGACGCCTCCCGCCCAGCCTCCACCCCCTGCCGTGGTTCCTGGTGAGCCCCCAACTCGCGTCGAGCAGCGCGTGATGCACGTTGGGACGTGCATGATGCTCCTGTCGTATGTGCTCGACCAGCTTCACGTGACCCTGGTGCAGCAGCAGGTGCAGATCGAGGTGATGCAGCCGGCGGAGCAGTCAGCGGCAGTGGCGGTAGCGGAGGAGTTGCAGCAGTACCTCCCCCTGATTGGCTTTGTGCCAGGTTCCCCTGGGGCTGCCCTCGGGCCCGGCCCTGGGGCGTTGGCACGGCTTGCTGATTCTGCCCAGGAGGATCCGCTCGACCTTGTAGCGGCAGCCGCGTCCGTCCTACGCTGGCTGGACGGGAGGCTGTGTTGGATCCTCGTTGAGTAGCGGAGGCCTTCCCCTTGCCAGCCCCCTTAGCAGCAGGTCTGGGTTTGGGCTTCCCCATGGCGGTGTTCTCACGCCCGGGGGTGTTGTTGTAGCTGTTGTTGTTCTATGCCTGCATGTTGTACTGCCCCATGTTGATATGCCAGGAGCTTTTTCCTTTGTCACCCCTCACGCGCGGCCGAAGGCCGCGCCGGCGAGCGGCGGCCGCCTTCGGCGGCCGGCGCGAGCCGCCGGTTTTTGGGGAGTAATCTGAACTCACACGTGAAGAATGAGCTCAAAGGACTCCTCACTAGGTGCTTTATACTAGGAAAACAGCCCTGGAAACGACTAAGGACCAAGGACTAGGCAAGAGAGGGTGAAAAACGGCTAAGGACTAGCCCCAAGCCATCTCTCTCTCTCTCTCTCTCTCTCTCTCTCTCTCTCTCTCTCTCTCTCTCTCTCTCTCTCTCTCTCTCTCTCTCTCTCTCTCTCTCTCTCTCTCAAGCAGTCATGTATTGATAGGGTTCACAAGGTACAGGCATGGCATAGAGGTGAAAACGAGTTGGTCTAGGTAAGCATGTAAGTAGCCGGTAGCTAAGCTAGCAAGCAAGCAAACACCGTGGCAGCAGACAGAACAACCACCATCTCAAACCAAATACCCACAGGAAGCCCCAAGCCCTATCAACCCTGACATCCTCCTCCTCCTCCTCTGGCTCTAACTACTCCCCTGACTTGCCCCTGTAGCCGAGAGCCTCACTTGGACGACCACCGCTGCCTCCCTGTGCTGTCCACCTCTCAGAACCCCTCCTTGACCACCCCCTGAAGTGCCGACAGCTCCCTACCCTCTCAGGCCGCCACAGCCGGGGACCTCCTGTCCTCATACTCGTCCTCAAGCGTCTGCCAGAGGTCCCCGAGCCGTGGCGCCCAGGGGTCTGCAGCCGTCTGTGGGAAGGCTGCCTCATCGGCTCGGTTTGACTTGGAGAGAAGGGAGACGGCCTGGCTACGCTGGAGCGACACTGACCACCGCTGCCTGAAGTGTGCGTTGAGGCGGGCAGCAGTTGTCGTCAGGCGCCCCTGCCTGTACTTCTTCTTGGCCGCGTAGGTCGCTAGGAGCCTAAGGAACTGCACGGTATCCTTGGCCATCGCCCCATAGGTCTCTACCGCGAGACCAAAGAAACCGGCGTAGCCCGGGCGGCCCTCGTATAATCTGTGTTTCCCCTCCGAGGCCTCCTCTGCTGCCCACCCCGGGGGCTTCCGTGCCCTCTTGTCACGCCGCTGCAGGACTGGGTCAGTGACTGTGACATCCGTGACCCACGTTTCACCCGACTCCTGGTCCCTGATAGCCAAGTCCGCCCGCTTCCGAAGGACAGGGGGGGAAAAGGCCGACGTCTCATGAAAAGTCTTGTACCCCGCGTCATTAGCCATCCGCAGTGCCGCGTAAACCAGGTTGTCGTGGGTACGGACCGCGTCCCCTCCATCTCCGCACCAGGAGGTGGTTGGGGAGGCTCTTGTCATCAATTTTGGAGTTACCCCGCTTGCAAGGGCAGACCTCAGTGACCGGCAGCTCCATGCCAAGGCGGAGTCCTAGAGCCAACGAGAATTGACCAGGGGAGAAAGTAAGGTCGCCTCTCGTTGGGATGGCATGTAACCAGTCGCCTGCCCCTACCCCTTTCAGGCTGGTGAGACGGATGACGTGCCCCCTGTCCTCTCCCGGCTTGTCCTGGAGGGTGTCAGCAAGAAGTTCGGCTGCCCGCCGCTGGTTTATGGTCTTTGATAGCCCCAGCTGCAAGTTCCCTGTGCCCTGTGCCCCGGTCCTGTACTGTTCCAGTACCCCCCGTGCCTCTGCTGGGAGGCCAGCTTCTATGGTGGTCCTGGGGTTGACTGCAGGTGGATCGGGGGCCCACTCGTGGGAAAGTAGCACTATTGCTCTGCTCAGCAGACCATCCGGCGGCAGTTTTAGCTGCCTCGGGAGTGTGTGGGCTGCCGAGACAGAGGCGAGGTAGGCCGCAGGCGCCTCGGAGGTGGGGTCAATGACTCCTAGGCCGCCTAGCCGCACTGGAAGTGTAGCTTGGCGCCATAGGAGACTCTGCTCTAGCTCCGAGGTTGGGATCCGTAGCTTTGCCGCTGTCAAGGCCGACCCCACCAGGGCCTCGCTCCACTCCCTCCATTCCCGGCGGCTCAGTGTTGTAGCCGGCGTCGTCCGCAGCATGTATGAGATCCGCCTGGAGATGCTGCGGGAAATCATGAGGAGTGCGTGTTGCGGGTGCAGCTGCGAGATGAGGGGGAGTGGCGTGGCTGCTTTTCCGAGGGCGGACCTGACGTGCTCAGTGCAGAAGGCGGCGTCCCCAACCGGACTGCCAAGCACTCGAATCCCCCCCGGGTCCGCCATCAAACCGTGTGGTAGCTCCCCAGGTTGCGGCCCCGAGTCCCCCCCCCATGCCGACGACTTGTCAATATTGCAGCGTAGACCGTACGTCGCGAGCGTCGCGGCAATCGTGTTAAAGGCGAGGCAGGCCGCCTCCTGTGGACCAACAATCGTGATGTCGTCGGCATAGGCGACGACCGCCACCTCAGGAATCGTTGCCGCTACACTCAGTAGTGCCGGCTGGATGGCGGCTGCAAATAATAGAGGCCCGAGTGGGTCCCCTTGGCGTACCCCACGTGAGCTCTGGATGTAGTCTGTGCCCAGGCGTGGATCTACCAGGAGCCGCGATGGTCCGTCGTAGAGATTGCGGACCAAAGGGAGTAGGGGGCTAAGGTTACACCACTGAAGCGCACCGAAGAACACCACCCGTTCAACGCTATTGAAGGCGTTTTCTATATCTAGCTGCAGAGCGATGCGGTTGCTGTCGTCCTGAAGTAGAGCCCGCACCGAGTGTATGATACACTCCGCGCCCCCCTGTACCGCTACCCCAAACTGTACGGGTAGGAAAAACTCTCGGATTTTGGGGCCGAGCGCGTGTAATGCTGCTTTCGACGCCACACGGAGCATGGCCTCTCCAATCGCTATCGGCCGTACCCCTCCGTTTGGCTTCTCCAGGGCGATGAGGCGCGATGGGAGGAGCAGGTCACGGATCGGTTGTGGCAGGACGCTGCTAAGGAGGCGGTTTAGTAGCTGGGTGAGCAGAGTTAGGATCTCCTCGTTGGCCAGCGCGGGATCTCTAAGGGCGTGTCTGAAGTGAATTTCGACGTTTGCCGACGAAACTTTCGTCGACGTTCCTTGACGAAACTCGACATCCGTTTTCAGCTGTGTTCACTTCAGACACCCACACGACAAAATAACCCACACGTGCCATAGGAACACTGTTATAAGTTGCCCATGAAAATTCGACGTGGAATTAACAGAATCATTCATGTAACTCAATTGTTTGCAATCTCGCGAATTTCGCTTAGCATAGATTGTTGCTGGTAACACCGGATATTCTACTGTCACATTGCCAGCGAAATTTCTCTAGCACGTGTCGCTCTCGTCTTAGTTCTTATTCACGTGTGTTTGCCACAGCTATGCAGACATGGCGTGTCGAAGAATTGTTTTTGAAACACTCACTGACTACAGTGACTCAAACAGCTGCCCGGTATCACTGTTCGACATCCCTCGACATGTGCACGAACGTCGAGTTTCGTCGAGGGATGTCAGTTTGCACTTCAGACACCAACACGCGTGGGTCCCACGGATGAGTTTCGTCGACGAAATTTGACGAAACTCGACGTTTGCACTTCAGACACGCCCTAATGTGTTCGAAGCAGGTTCCTGAAGGCCCTCCGCCTACCCCATTCGGGCACCTCGCTAGGATTTCGCGAACTGAGTCAAGCGGGGCTGACAGCTCTGACGAGGTGGTGCTCGTTACCCACGAAGGAATGTCGCTCGTAGCAGGGGGGTGTTTCGCAAGTAGTGCCTCGAGCGTGGCGGTGGTTGGTTCTGCCAGGGGACTGGTGAGTAACGCTGTTACCGCCTTGGAGATGTTGCCTTTTTTCATAAGGCCTTCAGCCCTAGCACAGAGGCCCTCGTCATCCGGTTGGTGTCTTATCGGGGTATCTGTTTCGGGGATAGTGCTTGCTTCCTCGAAAAGTTCCTCGAATTTGCCAAGTTTGAATTGATGCAGCCGAGCCTCGATCCGAGCCCATCTGCTTCCAGAAACCGGTTCGGGAGGTGGTCGTAAGGTCAATCTCGGCAGGAATTGGAGAACCTTCCATGCGCCCGCACAGTCGGGAAACTTCTTCAGACGGAGGAGGGGTGCCAGCAGACAAAGGCAATAGCTATCCAGGATTTGCGGGGGTACACGGCGGACCAAAAATGGCTGGTCTCCACGCTGCATCTGGGACACATCCCAGTCCCCCGCTGTCCGCCAGATGTCTTCGTCGTCTGCCAGGTCGGCCGGCGAGGGTACATATGTCACCTCTGTGGCGGGCAAGGGCACATTCGGTGCCTCAGTGGCAGGCAGGGGCCCATTCGTCACCTCGGTGGCAGTCGCTCCTTCATTGTGAGGGGGATTTGGTGGGTTACCACCCGAGGCCCGCCGTCGCCTGTGGGTTGTGTTCCTGCCCTCTCCCTCCTCATCCTCCAGTGAGACTTCCTCTGATTCCTCCTCCTCCTCCCCGCCCATAAACCCAGGGTCATTCCCGGAGTTGTCAGAGTCAGCTGCTTCCTCATTCGCTGGAGCAGGTTCCGGTTCAGGTTCTGGCCTATCGTGCCTCTCCCGCCAAGGCCCTGCCCGGACTGCAAGATCGGCCCCGCCTACGATCGTCTGTCCCCCGCGGGCTCCGCGTCCTCCACGCCCGCCGCGTCCTGCGCCCCCCTGCTCTCCTCTCCCTCTGCCCGTCGGTGGTCTCGTACTACCCACAGTTCCTCCGCGCCCGGCCGGCATCCACGGCGTTCGGCCACCTCGCGGCGGTCCCCAAGTTACCGCGCCTAGACGTGGTGAACGCCGCGTGTTTTGTGGTGCTGGTGCCGCCGTGTTTGCCGCTCCCGTCGCTCCTGTCACCTCTTCCTGTGGCACCACGGGTCCTTCAGCTTCGTCCACCTCGGCGTCAATCACCGGCAGAGCGGAAGATGGAGACGGACGCGTTGGCTCTCGTGGCGGCAGCCCTTGTCGCAGCCAGCCCAGGAGGGGTCCCGGGGGACCAGGCCTCAGCCCTGCTCCAGGCCGCCTCGCTGCTGGCTGGGCGCGGGGCCGCTTCCCCTTCTTCCCGCAGGCGGCGGGAGCAGCGGCGCTCTTCCCGCGGCCCTGTCTCTCTCTCTCTCTCTCTCTCTCTCTCTCTCTCTCTCTCTCTCTCTCTCTCTCTCTCTCTCTCTCTCTCTCTCTCTCTCAAGCAGTCCTTCATTGATAGGTTCATAGGGGTACATGCATGGCAGGAATAGGAGCTAGACAGGCCTAGGCATTGAAGCAGCTAAACATCCGAGGCAGGTACATGCAGCGGGCAGGATATCTGCAAACAGACAGGACGGCCGTGTGGGGCAAGGCAAGGCAAGGCAAGGCAAGCAAGGCAATGCACGGCAGAGCATGGTAAGCAAGCAAACAAACAGGCCTAACCTACAGCAGCTGAAACATGGCTAACCGGCTAGCCTATAGCTCATCCCACTCACTCAGTCCATCCCTCCTCCATCTCATCCTCCAGCACCTGCCAGAGATCCCCTAGGCTAGGCTCCCAGGGGTCCCTTGCAGCCTGGGGGAAGGCCGCTTCATCTGCAATGTTCGACTTGTTCAGGAAGGAGGTTGCCTGTGAGTGCTGCAGCATGACCGACCACCGCTGCCTGTAGTGTGCTGTGAGCCGGGCAGTTGTTGTGGTCAGCTTCCCCTGGCGGTACTTCTTCTTGGTTGCTGAGGTGGCCAAGAGGCGCAGGAATTGCTGTGTGTCCGTGCAGAGGGCCCCATACGTCTCGACCGCCAGCCCAAAAAAGCCTACATAATCTGGCCGACCCTCGTAGATTCGGTGTTTCGATTCAGAAGCCTCCTTCGCCGCCCACCCCGGCGGTTTCCGCGCCCGTGTGTCTCGCCGCTGGAGTACAGGATCAGTCACCGTTACATCTGTCACCCAAGTCTCATTTGACTCTTTGTCCCTGATAGCTAGGTCCCCCCTCTTTCTGATTACCGGTGGGGAGAATGCTGTCGTCTCGTGGAAGCACGTGTAATCTGCTTCTCTCGCCATCCTGAGTGCGGCATACACCAGTGCGTTGTGTGTCCTGACCACATCCCCGCCATAACCGCATCGTAGGAGGTGGTTTGGCAGGCTTGTGTCTGTGATGCTGGAGTTCCCTCTCATGCAGGGGCACTTCACAGTGACCGCCAAAGACATGCCCAGGCGGAAGCCCAATGCCAACGAGAACTGACCAGGGGCAAATGTAAGGTCAGATCTCGTGGGCACGGCATGAAGCCAGTCCCCCGCCCCCACCCCTTGGAAGCTGATGAGGCGCACCGCGTGCCCGTGGTCAGTTCCAGGCCGGTCAGTGATTGTGTCGGCCAGCAGCTCAGCTGCCCGTCTCTCGTTGATGTGGCGGGACAACGTCAGCTGCAGGTTTCCTTGTCCTACCGGCCGCTCCCTGTACGCCTGTAGGGCTGTCCTCGCAGTCGCTGGTAGGGCCGCCTCGAGAGTGGTCAGAGGGTTGACCTCAGGAGGGGCTGGGACCCACCCATGGTCCAGTAGTGTCGCTGCCCTGCGCAGGAGACACATCTCAGGTAGGTTCATCTGGTTCAGTAGCTGCTGGGCCGCCAGGACCGATGCTATGTAGGCTGCCGGCGCTTCTGAGGACGGGTCGATGATGCCAAGTCCCCCCAGCCTGACAGGTAGTGTTCCCTGTCGCCACAGTAGGCTCTGTTCCAGCTCACTTGATGGGACCCGTAGTTTTGCCGCCGCTAGTGGTGTTGCCATCAAGGACTCGCTCCAAGTCCTCCACTCCTCCCGTTCCAGTACTGCTGCCGGTGTCGAGCGGAGCAGGTAAGAGATTCTGCGGGAGATGCTCCTCGAGAGGATGAGCATGGCGTGCTGGGGGTGCAGCTGGGCAATCAGAGGAAGTGGCGCCGCCGCCTCAAAGAGGCGTGCTTGTGCCTAGTCAGTGCAGAAGTCCGCCGTGCCTACCGGGCTCCCCAAAACGCCAATGCCCACGGTGCTCATTCGCAGGCCTTCAGGTGGTGGGATCTCATTCTCCCCTTCATTGGCAGCCCACCCGGTTGACTTAGCGATGTTGCAGCGGAGCCAGAGCGTTGCGAGCTCCCTCGTGATGTTCTTGAAGGCTTCGTAAGCAGCATCTCGGGGGCCGACGATAGTAATGTCGTCAGCGTATGCGACGACTACCACCTCGGGGAGCAGTGTCGCTGTGCTGAGCAGTGTGGGCTGGATCGCCGCCGCGAACAGAAGGGGGCCAAGCGGATTGCCTTGTCTAACTCCCCGCGTGCTCATGATGTGGTCTACGCCGAGCATGTGGTCCACAAGGAGGCGTGACGGTCCGTCGTAGAGCGTGCGGACAAGTGGCAGTAGCGAAAGTAAACTAGACTGCGAGAGCGCCGTAAAGAACCCCGCGCGTTCAACACTATTGAAGGCATTCTCAATGTCGATCTGTAGGGCGATACGACTGTCGTCCTCTGTCAACAGTGACCTAACTGAGTGCACGATGCATTCCACGCCGCCCATTACTGCCACACCAAACTGCACAGGCGGGAAAAACTCGCGGATGTTCTGTGCGAGTTCCTTAAGGGCTGCTTTTGCTACGACGCGCAGTAAGGCCTCTCCGATCGCTATTGGACGAACACCTCCTCCCGGTTTCTCCAATGCTATGAGTCTCGATGGTAGCAACAGGTCACGGACGGCTTGCGTCTGGAAGGTACTAAGGAGGTATGAGAGTGCTTTGGCGAGGTGAAGAAGGACTTCCTCGTTTGCGAGTGCGGGATCCTTGAGGTGTTCAAAGCAGGTGCCCGAAGGGCCTGCTCCTACCCCGTTCGGGCATCGCTTGAGGATTTCGCGAAGGTCGTCAGGGCTGACTTTCAGTGTCGTTTCGGTATAGCCGGTTACACACGTCGGCGTTGGCGAACCTGCAGCGGGATGCTTCGCTTGTAGGGCTGCGAGTGTCTCTGGTGTAGTGTCGGCAAGCGGGGTTGTCCGTAACGCGGCAACCGCCTTTGAAATGTTTCCCTTCCGTATTAAACCCTCCGCCCTCGCACAGATTCCCGCCTCATCGGCTTGGTGTCGAATCGGGTTCTCCCTGTCGGGGATGACGCTTGCCTCGTCGAAAAGCCCCTCCCATTCGCCTTGCTGGAATTGGTGCAGCCTCCCTTCAATCCCCACCCAACGTGACCCTTCAACTGGTTCGGGGAGCGGGCGGAGGGTCAGCCTCGGCAGGAATTGTAATATCGCCCATGCTCCTGGACAGTCAGGATTTTTTGAAAGGCGGAGGAGTGGTGACAGGACACAGAGGGTGTAACTCTCCAAGATTTTTGGCGGCATTCTGCGGACCAGGAAAGGTTGGTCCCCCCGCTGGAGCTTAGCTACATCCCACGCGGCCGCCTGTTGCCAGATGGCGTCGTTTGCAGCCAGCTCAGCAGGCGACAAAACGTTGGAGATCCCCGCTCCCCCTCTTGCCGAACCGTCGGCGGCAGCAGCAGCAGCTTCGGTTGGGGCAGATGTCCCGCCTTGCCCAACCCCTGTACCCCCTCTCCTCCGGGGCCCTCTTGGTGTGCCTCCTTCCTCCTCCAGCGAGATCTCCTCTGAGGCATGAGACTGGGAGGGGATAAATTCCTCCCCGTCATTCGAGTTGTCAGAGTCCTCAGCCCCCTGATTCGCTGGGGCTGCCTCTCGTTCCGGTCGATCGTGACGTTCCCGCCATGATCCCGATCTGACCAGAGCTTCCCTTCCGCCCACGATTGCGCCCCTTCCGCCTCTCACCCCTCGTGCTCCGCCGCGACGGCCGCGTGCTGTGGTTGCTCCCCGTGCGGGGACCACGGTGTCCCGCCCGCCTTGTGCAGACTGTGGCGCCCTTCCCGCCGGCAGCCACGGCGTGTGTGGTGCACCGTTGCGCGGCATTGCCGGTCGACCCCAAACGATTCCCTGGGCACGCGTGCTGCTGCGCGTGTCACGGCGCGTTTCTTGCGGGGCTTGATTTCCTGCTCGGCGGGTAAGCCCAACTTCAGGTGCTGTGTCCGGCGCCGCTACGTGTTTTGCCCCGCATCCCTCCCGCCTCTCATGTTCCGTGGTGTCCGCCGCCGACTGACTATTGCCTCCCTCTTCCTCGCAGGCATTCTGAGATGGCGGCGGATGCCCTTGCCCTTGTGGCGACTGCCCTTGCAGAAGCCAGCCCAGGAGGGGTCCCGGGACGCCAGGTCCCAGCCCTGCTCCGGGCCGCCTCGGTGCTGGCTGGGCGCGGAGATTCTTCCCAGCCTTTGCGCGGGCGGCGTGGGCAGCAGCACCGGTCCCGCGAGCCAGTCTATCACTCCCCCCCCGGCCGCGCCCCTGCGTGCCTGCGTCCGCGGCAGCAGCAGACGTTCCGGCGCTCGCGGCGTCAGCCGCCCCGACCTCCCCAGCCGGATCGACTTTGCGTACCTCCTCTGCAGCTGCCGCAGCCGCAGCCGCCGGTGCAGGTGGCCCAGCTGCCACCGCCGATCCCTCCGCCTGTCCCTGCTCCTCTCCCCCCTCCTGCTCCTCCGCCTGCCCCTGTTCTTCCGCCCACCCCTGCACCTCCACCTCCGCCCGTGTCATATGCCCATGTGGTGCGGCAGTCACTATGGCAGCGTGCAAAAACGAGCCGTCGCCAGCGCCAGCAACAGCGGCGAGCTCAGATGTCAACTCCTCCCCAGCCGCAGGCGCAGCCGCCTCCGCCGTTGTCAGCAGCCCCGGCGCAACCGACTCCAGTAGTGCCGGCTGCCCAGGGACAGCCACTGACGCCGCAGCTGCCGACCAGCTCTGCACCGACCCACCCTCTTCCTCCACAACTTCCCCAGTCCTCCGCCTTGACTGCTCCGCCAACGGTGCCAGTGGAGTATCCGCAGTTATTCCTGGGCGGAAGGCAGATCCCGATCCCCTGGGAGGTGCTGGGGTGCCCGATGGCTGCTGAGGCTCGCGTTGTGCCGCCTGCCCCAACCCTTGACGAGCGTTGGAGCCAGTGGGAGGAGCGTCCACCCGCGGAGAGGCTGTTGCTCGTCGAGCAGCACGTAGTGACCATGGGGTCCTGTCTGAACCAGGTGGCAACAATACTGGATCAGCTCCACGCATGCTTGGCGCGCCGCAAGGTGAAGTGCCCGCCACTGGCGGCGGTGGAGCGGGAGCAGGCAGTTGCTGCAGCGGACGAGTTGCTGGAATCTCTCCCGCAGTTGGGGCTGAATATGGGGTCTCCTGGGATTGCCACTGGACCTGGGCCGGCTGCCGTGAGGCGTCTGGCAGCGTGTGCACAGCAGGGTCCGCTCGGTTTGATTCCGGCTGCTGCATCCTTGCTGCGCTGGATGGACGGCCGGCTGGTGTGGCTCCTTGTGGAGTAGGTGCTGCCCACCCTGGCGCCTTTCTCCCTTGGGTGTCCTGCCTCTGCAGCACTGGGTCGGTCACCGTCACGTCTGTGAGGTAGGTTTCACCCGACTCCCTGTCACGGAAGACCAGGTCCGCCCGTTTAGGGTTGACTGGGGGCGAAAATCCTGTCGTCTCGTGCAAGGTAGTGAAATCCGCCTCACGTGCCATGCGTAGTGCCGCGTACACCAGCGCGTTGTGGGTGTTGGTGCGGTCCCCCCCATCCGCGCATCTCAGCAGGTGATTCGGCAGGCTGCTGTCTGCTATCTTGGAGCGCCTGCCGCGGCAGGGGCAGTTTTCTGTGACTGGAAGGGAAAGGCCGAGCCTGAAGCCTAGGGCTATGGCGAATTGCCCGGGAGAGAAGGTGAGGTCCGCTCGCGTGGGTATGGCATGCAGCCAGTCTCCTGCCCCCGGCGCCTGCAAGGCTATGAGCCGCACCACGTGCCCGTTATCCCCGCCCGGCTTGTCTACCCGGTTGTCCCCTATCAGCTCCGCTGCCCTGTCCAAGTTGACCTCGCGGGATAGCCCCAACTGCAGCCGCCCTTTCCCCCCCTTTTGACGGTGGTGCTCATGTAGGAGTTCCAGTGCCCTTTCTGGTAGCTTGCTTTTGAGGTCCTGCAGGGTCTCCCCTCCCCGTGCCGACACCTCGATGCGTTCTGTAGATACCAGGTCTGCAGCTCGCCGCAGGGGGTGGTCTGGGTGCTCAGGGAGGCCACTCAGTAGGGTGTGGGCCGCGCTTAGGGATGCCAGGTAGGCTGCGGGTGCTTCCGAGATCGGATCTATGAGGCCCAGCCCGCCGAGGCATACTGGAAGGGTCGCCTGCCTCCACACCAGGCTCTGTTCGATCTCCTTCCTCGGCACGTGCAGGTGTGTCGCTTTGAGCGCTGTCCACACCACTCCTTCGCTCCACTCCCGCCACTCTTCTAAGGGCAGCATGTCTGCCGGTATTGTCCGAAGCAGATATGAGATACGCCTGGATACGCAGCGTGACAGCAACAGTAGGGCGTGCTGCGGGTGGATGCTGCTGATAAGGTCTAGGGGGGCCGCCACCGTGTCTAGGGAAGCTGTGATCATGCGCCTCCCGTATTCCCTTGTTCCTATGGGGCTCCCCAAGACGCGTATGCCGTCTACTGCTGCTACCAGGCCGTCAGGGAGGTCGTCCGGTATGCCTGATGGGCTCCAAGCAGATGATTTCGCGAGGTTGCATTTGAGGCCGCGGCCGGCGAGTTGCCTGGTGATGATCCCCAAGGTGAGTGCCGCTTCCTGCGCCGTCCCTACGATTGTAATGTCATCCGCGTAGGCCATGACCGTGACCGACGGGAAGATGTCAGACGCCACCTGAAGCGCCGGTTGAATAGCTGCCGCGAAAAGCATGGGGCCTAATGGGTCTCCTTGACGGACCCCGCGCGCGCTCTCGATGTGTGGTGCCGCGAAGCCGTGATCCAGTAGTAGGCAGGAGGGTGTGCCGTACAGCGTACGCACTAGTGGTATGACGCGGCTGAGTCCAGAGAAATGCAGTGATTCGAAAAAACCGGCGCGTTCAACCGAGTTAAAGGCGTTTTCGATATCTAACTGCAGCGCCACTCGCTTCGGATCCTCAGCTAAGAGCGCGCGCACCGTGTGAATAATACATTCGGCGCCTCCAGGTACTGCCACTCCAAATTGTACCGGGAGGAAGTATTCTCGGATGGGCGTGCTTAGTTCCCTAAGCGCTGCCTTAGCTGTGAGTCGTAGTATCGCTTCTCCTATGGCTATGGGTCTGACACCTCCGTCCGGTTTCTCCAGGGCTACTAGTCTAGATGGTAGCAAAAGCTCCGTCAGTTCCGCTGGCAGGTGGGTGCTAAGGACGTGGTTGACGACGCCGTGCAGGTAAGAGAATACTTCAAGCACTCTCTCTCTCTCTCACTCTCTCTCTCTCTCTCTCTCTCTCTCTCTCTCTCTCTCTCTCTCTCTCTCTCTCTCTCTCTCTCTCAAGCAGTCATGTATTGATAGTGGTCATAGGGTACAGACATGGCAGGGAGTGGTTGTAGCTAGTCTATCTAAGCCTGTAGGTAACCCAGTATCCAAAGCTAACAAACAAGACAACCTGCAAGCAAAGAAAAACTAGAAAGCAGAGCAGAGCCAGCAGTGCAGGCCGATGAAGCATGACTCGTGTGTAAAACCCCAGTCCCTGAGCACTGAACAGACCGATCAACAGTAGCCACCCCCGTCCCTGAACACCTCCCATCCTACCGCGGTGCCCCTGCCCTCTCCCTGCCTCGTACTCTCACCCTCCTTCCGTCACCCTCCTTTCTCTCTTTCCCCTCTAAGCCGCTCTGGCAGGGGCCTCCCGCTCCTCATACTCGTCTGTTGTCATCTGCCACAGGTCCCCAAGCCGTGGTGCCCATGGATCTGCTGCCGCCTGTGGGAAGGATGCTTCTGCCGCGTGGTTGGACTTGGACAGGAAGGAGATGGCCTGGCTTCGCTGCAGCATCACCGACCACCGCTGGCGGTAGTGAGCGTTGAGCCTGGCTGCTGTGGTGGTAAGTCTGCCCTGTCTGAACTTCTTCTTGGCCGCACTGGTGGCCAACATGCGCAGGAACTGAAGCGTGTCGGCTGCCATCGCGCCGTAAGTCTCAACTGCCAGCCCAAAGAAACCGGCGTAGCTGGGGCGCCCCTCATACTCCCGGTGTATCCTCTGTGAGGCCTCCTCTGCCGCCCACCCCGACGGCCTACGTGCCCTAGAGTCCCTGTTCTGCAGCACTGGATCAGTCACGGTGACATCCGTCACCCAAGTCTCCCCCGATTCCTGGTCCCAGATGGCCAGGTCTGCTCTCTTCCTAACGACAGGGGGCGAGAAAGCGGTGGTCTCGTGGAACACCTTGAAACCTGCTTCATTCGCCATCCGCAGCGCCGCGTAGACAAGCTCGTTGTGTGTCCTGACCGCATCCCCACCGTCCTGGCAACGAAGTAGATGGTTCGGCAGACTTTTGTCCAGGATCGCAGAGCCTCTTCGCTTGCATGGGCAGACCTCAGCGACTGGGAGCTCCATGCCTAGGCGGAGGCCTAAGGCTAACGAGAACTGACCAGGGGAGATGCTAAGGTCGGCTCTCGTCGGCACGGCATGGAGCCAGTCACCTGCTCCCACTCCTTTCAAACTGATGAGTCTGATCGCATGCCCCCTGTTGGTCCCGGGGCGGTCCACCACTGTGTCGCCAAGGAGGTCTATGGCCCGCTGCTGATTGATGAACTTAGATAGGCGCAGCTGCAAACTACCCGTGCCTGTGTTCTCCGTCCTATACTGACCCAGCGTAGACTGTGCTAAGGCTGGGAGGCTTGCCTCTAAGGAGGTAAGAGGGTTGCTTCCAGGGGGCGGTGGGGACCACTCATGGGAGAGCAGAGTAGTTGCACGGTGTAGCAGGCAGTCCGTGGTTAGGTTCAGCTGCAGCAGTAGGGAATGGGCGGCCGCGAGCGAGGCGATGTAGGCGGCAGGGGCCTCTGAGCATGGGTCAATGATTCCCAGGCCGCCTAGCCTGATCGGTAGCGTCGCTTGCCGCCAGAGGAGACTCTGCTCTAGCTCCGACGTGGGTATGCGGAGCTTTGCAGCCGTGAGTGCTGACCCCACCAAACCTTCACTCCACTCCCTCCATTCTCCCGTACTTAGAGCCGATGCCGGCGTCGTCCGCAGTAGGTACGAAATCCGCCGAGAAATGTTGCGGGATAGGATCAGTAGCGCGTGCTGCGGGTTCAGTTGGGTGATGAGCGGGAGCGGGGTTACCGCATCCTCCAGCGTAGCCCTGACCTGGCTAGTGCAGTAGTCGGCCTGTCCGATAGGGCTGCCAAGCACCCGTATTCCTCCAGGGTTGGCGGACAGACCCTCCGGCAGCTCGGTGCTGGCATCTCCGTCTGATTGGGTCCATGCCGATGATTTCGCGATGTTGCAGCTCAGCCCAAGCTCCGCTAGCCTGCTCGTGATTGTACGGAAAGCTAGGCAGGCTGCTTCCCGCGGGCCGACCACGGTAATGTCGTCCGCGTACGCCGTTATCGCAACCTCTGGCACGGTCGTGGCAACGCTCGGGAGTGTAGGCAGAATAGCCGCTGCGAAGAGGAGCGGGCCCAGAGGATCACCTTGTCGCACGCCTCTAGAACTCAGGATGTGGTCGGTGCCGAGCCGTGGGTCAACAAGCAAGCGGGATGGCCCATCGTAGAGATTTCGAACTAGCGGGAGGAGCGGGCTCAAGCTTGACCACTGCAGCGCCCCCAGAAATGCCGGTCGTTCCACACTGTTAAAGGCATTCTCAACATCTAGTTGGAGTGCTATCCTGGCCTTATCCTCGCGGAGTAGCGCACGGACCGCATGGATTACGCATTCCGCTCCTCTCGGAACCGCAACGCCTAGCTGGACCGGGAGAAAAAAATCCCTAATTTTGGGGCCGAGAGTCTGCAGGGCTGCTTTTGCAGTGACGCGTAGAATAGTTTCCCCAATGGCGATTGGCCTCACTCCGCCGTGAGGCTTCTCTAATGCGATAAGGCGGGAGGGGAGAAGCAGGTCTCTCACGTGCTGGGGCTGGTAGGTACTAAGCAGCTGGTTGACCACCTCAGCGAAAAGTATGAGCAGCTCTTCGTTGGCCAATGCCGGGTCTCGGAGGTGCTCGAAACATGTGCCCGAAGGACCCGCCCCAACTCCGTTCGGGCACTTCGCAAGCACTTCGCGGAGTGTGTCGAGCGGGACGTGG